TTTCTCCACTGGTAATATAGGAAATACACATTAAGCAGATTATAACATCGACCTAAATGCTGTCAATCTTTGAGAGAGAGAGAGAGAGAGAGAGAGAGAGAGGTGAAGAAAACTGTAGTTTTTCTGCAGTTAGGGTTTGACACTTTCCCCTGCGACAGTGCACAGTAGAAAAGAAGTAACACTACGATGAGTACACCCTCTTCCACCTTTCACGGCACCAAAGACTGAACCAGATCTCTGATATAGATACATATACTAAAGAGATCTCATTTAGCTCCTCGGAAATATAATAACGCGAGAGATGGGTGGGAAAGCAGCATGAGCCTTTCCCCACTGTCACGAGGCTACACAGTGACCCCCCGACTTCCTTCGACCTGCACCTCTCGCCTCCTCCATTCCCTTCCTTTCTTTGCTCACCATTTGTTTGTTTATTAGACTGTTTACAGGCGAACAAAGCAGGAAGACAGCCTTCTCTCTCTCGAACAACATATATAAGCGATCGAGGACACCACACGTCGGCGTGTAATAAGCTAGCATTTCTGGTACTGACTTGTGGCACTGTTTTAGGGTTCCTCGACAGTGTTCTACCTCGAGAAGAGTCACCATCCTTGTTCTTTTCAGCCAACATTTTGTTTTTTTTATCATATCTCGATGCTTTCTCCCTGCAAATTTGCATAAGATGTTACGTACGATGCTGTTCTTATCATTCCATCAACCAAATGGCTCCCGTTCCTTCTACTTTAATATTATTGTCAGCTCTTTTTAGGGATAGACCGCAATGTCGGTATGTCTTTTAACTCATTGATGGATTCGAGTAGAAAGATCAGTTCATAAATAATATAAATTCGTTCCTATAAATACATCTTGATGAGCATTGAAGTAGATAATCGAGTCTTTGATTTGCATCTACCTATGAAACTTAATAATAGTCATGAATATGATCAGTTCAGCATCTCCATTAAGTGTTAAGCTTGGATTAGTTCTTTAGGTTTTCAATCATCTTTCTCACTGGAAATAGTCATTCTATAATTATATCTTTAGGACTTTTGCCAAAAAAAAATGGCATGTAGGTATCAAACAATTATATTAGTATCTCTCTTGAAATGTATATAATTTTTTACTATCAGAATCATCTTTTCCATAGACATTAGGGGTGTTTAGATCGGTTCGAACTTAACCGAACCGAATCATTTTTGTTAGATTAAAGTAAGATAGTCCGAATTATAACCGATTCAAAATCAGTTAATTGAATCAAACTATTAGTGAATCAATTCAGATCGAACCGATTTTGAATTAGTTCGAATTCGTTTTTCGATTTAATTTCAACACCCATAATTGGCATCACAATTATCATAACTGCTAAAGGCATAAGTATTAGAAGCACACTTTGTACTGCTTGCTACAATGTTTTGGCTGGTTATTGACCTTTTCTTTTTTTTCTCTAATGTTGATTTCATTGTCCTTTATCCATTATAGAACCTTTCTTCATACACATATTTTTTTTGGCATGAGATACTTTTTTTATTCCACATCTCTAGTAAGGATCACAATTAGCATGCATGCATATATTGGAAAAGCAAATCTAATTGATGTCATTAATTTTTTTTTTGTTGGAAAATGAAGATGAAAACTGTGAAGGTTTTGGTTCCTCTGAAGAGGACCAGAATGCCACTGGGGATTATCAGGTGGATCCTCAGGATATCGACCCCCATGCCGACAAAGAACTGAAGCACCATCTCTTGAAGAAGTATGGTGGCTACTTGAGCAGACTCCGGCAAGAGCTGACCAAGAAGAAGAAGAAAGGAAAGCTGCCCAAGGAAGCTCGGCAGAAGCTGCTCAACTGGTGGCAGCTCCACTACAAATGGCCGTATCCATCTGTATGTGCTCTACATTCATCATCGTACGTATCACCAAGCTACTGACTTACTTGGATGGAAAATTCTACATGACAACACGCAGGAAACCGAGAAGGTGGAATTGGCTGAGTCGACAGGTCTTGATCAGAAGCAAATCAACAACTGGTTCATCAACCAAAGAAAGAGGCACTGGAAGCCATCAGAGGACATGCAGTTCGTGGTGATGGATGGTTTCTATCCACAGAATGCTTCTGCTCTCTACATGGAAGGGCAGTTCATGGGTGACGGCATCTACCGCCTTGGTCCGTGATGCCTTGTGATCTAAACCAAGTTTCCAGGTGAGAATGATATATTATACTCGAATCCTTCGAATCATACTCTTTGCTGCATCGATCAAAATAATGTTGATCTGTGGTCATACAATGTAGAAAAGGATAGTGCATTTACGTGAGATGCTTCTCTCATCTCTTCCCATTCTGTCTTCCTCTACATCATATCAACCCTTCTTGCTATCGATTATATGAAGTGATACTGCTACCATTTGATTTAGGAAAAGAAATCTCTAAGCACGTAGATATTGTCGCAAAAGGTGTTTTCTTTTTTGCTTTTGAACTGATGTGTCTTCTCGATTGGCAGATATTAAGAAGAGGAAAAGGAGAAAGCAGAGGGAGGAGGATGAAGCCCTAAATATCTTTTTCTTTCCCCCATTTTAATGGGGATGAGAACAGTAAGATGACATGCATTCGATGCAACACCGATGCAAGAAGAGAATGTTGTAGTATATTTCATATTTCAAACATGCAAAACATAATATAAATACGTAATGCATTAATGTTGTTCATGGTTTAACTGGAACAGAAATAAAAAGTTGGAGGCTTGCAAATTCTTATCTCTCTTTCTCTCGGCTTCATCAAATTAATCTAATCTCTCTTTCTCTCGGCTTCATCGACGAATTATAATTTTCTATTTCCTTTTTTAACCAGGAAAATTATTAAGAAAAACTCTACCCATATTCTCTCCCTAAATAAATAGTCTTCTTCTCACTCTCAAAAAAAATTTCTTCACCTTATATACTAACAACTCTCAATGATTTCTTCAGCAAAAACAGCCTGAAATTTTTATACATCATGATTTGACTTCCAAATTTCTTTCAGTAATTACTAGTTAGCATGAATTGTTCATTTTCAGATGTTTCATAGACAAGATATGACCCCTTCAGCAATCAAGGGAATATTTTTGACACTTTAGCTGGCTTCCTAACCCAAACAGCTTGAAATCTTCTGTCTTTTCTGCTTTGTTTCCAAGTTCATGTTGCTCCATCAAGTCAGTAGATAAAGATTTCTTCAGCAAAAGTAGCCTTTGCCTGAAGTATATAAACATCATGATTTGACTTCTGATTTATATATATATATATATATATATATATATATATATATATATATATATATATATTTTGTATGAATAGTTCCTTTTAAGACATACTACAGACAGGATTTGACACATTCAACAATTAAAGCAATATTTTTGCCACTTTAGCTGGCTTACTAAGCAAACCAGCCTGAGTTTTATAGACATCAAGATTTGACTTATAAATTTCTTTCAATAATTAGTATGAATACTTCCTTTTTAAACATCTTATAGACAACCAAGAGGGTATTTTGGTCACTTAGCTGGCTTACTAAGCGAAACACGTTAAAAATCTTTCATGTTCCATTTTTAGGCATTTTATAGATAAGATTTGACCCCCTTCAGCTATTTTTCATGCTTAGATTTCACTCATAGCAAACCTGTAGGTTAATGGTTATATTGGTAGCAAAAAGACCAATTGTCTATTAGAATAAGCAATCGGTAGATCACAATAAGTAAGCGTAACGCCTCATGAAATAAGCATTAGCGTAACGATGGGTGCAATTAGTGAAATGAAAAAGGAAAAATGTGTCTTTACTCGCTTCTATACTATGTGCAAGATAGATTCAATTCAATTTTAATTTTCGAGTTGACTTTGTTACTCCTTAATCAAGATCAAATAGATATTAAAATCATTAAGTCAATGACTTATCAATCACAGTCAGAAAATAAGCACAAAAATAAGCTATATTGAAATTGAAACCCCGAACAACTTGCATTAGCGCCTTATGAAATAAGCATTAGCGTAAAGATGGGCGCAACTATTGAAATGAAAATAAAAAGCTCGGTCTTTGCTTACTTCTATATCATGTGCAAGATAAATTTAATTCAATTCTAACTTTTGAGTTGACATTGTTATTCCATAATAATCAGGACCAAATATGCATACAAATCATTAAGTCAATCGCTTATCAATTCGTAGAAATATCTTTTTTTATCTTTCTTATCTTATCTCATTGATCATATATATATATATATATATATATATATATATATATATATATATATATATATATATATAATAAAATATATCGTACATTATTGTTTGTTAAATATGAAATTATATTCTTATATATTTAAAAAATAATCAAACTTTTTAAGAACAACAAATTCCAAAACTATGAATATTAGATCCCTTCACGTATGCAGAGCAAAGCTCCGATCCTTCGCCTTATGATGCGGAATCCTAATAGTAATCATCCCTCCGATAGCCACTGAGCTGTGACTGTCACTGACTCCAACCTTATTAATAATATATATATATATTATATCGAGTGGAGATCGAAACTGTGGTTGGCAAAACACATTGGATGCCATCTTTCTCGCATTCAGTGAAGCTGCTGTCAGAGGCCCTCCTGACAACCTGGGCATAGTTGCACGGCCAACTTTTGCACTGTGACTTTACACACAGTGCACTCAATCTAACGCTGGCATACATTGGGTCAGAAATCACATAATATTATTTCCTGTTTCTGAACGTATCTTGTGGTTTCATAGTATTAATGTACGACGAAAGCAAACGACACTCGGCCTTCGTACCTACTACTTCGACAACCCTCGCAGGGAACCAAGTGGGACCCACACGCGGTGACCAAAGCGCATGTGGTAAGTGCGCGGGTGATTGGGGTTTGAGTATCGTTTAGACGCTTGCTCGTGCCATGCGGCTCCAGCTCACGACGTGCACTTGCCCAGCCTGTACGTGAGCGTGTCTTGTGACCGCCGCCCAGCTCACGACCTACTTTACTTCGAAGCCTCGTCATTAAGTCTTCTTCGCCTTTTTAAGTCGCACTTCTTGATTGCCACCTTCACATTTCACAAGCTGTTGATTGATGCTAATCTGGGCGCCAGGAGTCGGGCTATAAAGAGCAGCTGCGAGCGCTGAGGCCCAGTCGTAACGCCATGGATCCCTGCCCCTTCGTCCGTGTCCTCGTCGGGAATCTCGCCCTCAAAGGCCCCGTCGCCGCCCGCCCCGCTGGCGGATCTGGCGTCCACCCCTCCGCCCACCCCTGCTTCGCCACCGTCCGCCTCGACAAGCACCCCTCCCGCCACACCGCCGCCGTGCCGCTCCTCCCCCCGGACGACGCCGACGCGCCCCCGCCTCCCGCCGCCGCCTCCCTCGCTGCTGGATTCCACCTCTCCAAGGCCGACCTCGACCGCATCGCCGGGGGATCCTTCTTCTCCCCTGCATCGGCCTCCGGTGCCGGGACGGCGAAGCTTAAGGTCGCGATCTACTCGGGCGGCAGGGGGACCACGTGCTTGTTGAGGTCCAGGAGGCTCCTGGGCAGAGTCTCGCTGCCGTTGGATCTCAGAGAGACCGCGGAAGGGAGGGCGGTGGTGTTCCACAGCGGGTGGGTTGCACTCGGGAAGGGAGCGTCGGCGGCGGCCAAGGCGCAGCTTTACCTGACGGTGAAGGCGGAGGTGGACCCCCGGTTCGTGTTTGAGTTCGACGGGGAGCCGGAGCGCAACCCGCAGGTGTTCCAAGTCCAAGGCAACAGGAGGCAGCCCGTCTACACCTGCAGCTTTGGCTGCCGCCACCACTCCGGCGACTGGAACTGGGGATCGAGGTTCGTCTTTTATCCACCACTCCGGCGACTGGAATTTAGGGTTTTTCCTTCCACCAAAATTAATCCACATTTTGGATTCTCCGTCAAAGTTTGTAGCTTTATTAGATTTGAATCAAAACTCTTCCACATTTTGCTGGTGTCGTCGTCTCATCGAAGTTCCTCTTTTTTGTTCTCTGTTTAGGTCTGCGCAATCTGAACCGAGCAGTTCGCGGAGGTGGCGTTCGTCCATGGGATCGGAGCGGGAGCGCCTGGGGAAAGAGCGCAAGGGGTGGTCCGTCACCGTCCACGACCTTTCCGGCTCCCCCGTGGCTCTGGCCTCCATGGTCACCCCCTTCGTCGCTTCTCCCGGCACCGACCGCGTCAGCCGCTCCAACCCCGGCGCCTGGCTCATCCTCCGCCCCGGCGACGGCACCTGGCAGCCCTGGGGCCGCCTCGAGGCTTGGCGCGAGCGGGGGGGCGGCCCCGCCGGCGACGGCCTCGGCTACCGCTTCGAGCTCCTCCCTGACACCGCCGCTGGCCCCGGCGTCACCCTCGCCGAGTCCACCATCAGCGCCTCCAAGGGCGGCAAGTTCGCCATCGATCTCACCGGCGCAGGCGGCAACCCCCTGGCGCGGACGCCCTCCTCGTCGGGGCGCAGCGGCGAATTGGTTCGCAGGCCGTCGCCGTGCCGGGGCTACCGCGGGTTCGTCATGTCGTCCACGGTGGCCAGCGAGGGGACGGGCGGCCCCCCCGCGGTGGAGGTCGGGGTGCAGCACGTCGGGTGCGCCGAGGACGCGGCGGCCTTCGTCGCGCTCGCCGCGGCCGTGGATCTCAGCATGAACGCCTGCCGTCTCTTCTCCCACAAGCTCCGCAGGGGGCTGTCATCATCTGCCACCCTGCGGTGATGAACATTCTCCTCCGCCACTTTCTTATTTTCCTTCCTCCCACTGTACAGGTGAAATGTGATTGTTCGATGGATTTTTTGTGTGTGTGTGTCCGAATGACTAATTCGGAGCATTAATTCTTTCTATGATTTTTCTAAGAGCGAGTGATCAGTAGCAGAAAGGTTGTCTTCATTTGTAGCATTTGCTTGTTTGAGGAATCATAGCAGGAACATTTTTGACATACAGCGTCTCTCTTAATGCCTCTGTTATATTTGATCTCCAAGTAAGATTGGGAATGGCTGAAGACAGGTCTTGGGTGAAGCTTTCAAGGGGGCGGTGCACGTGGGCACTCACTCGTATGGCTTTTGTGGTCTGTGGAGGTACCGCAGACTGTTCCGACAGCGTCAGCTGGCGTGGAACGCTGCCAGCGCATTCGTAGCTGTCATCCGCACTAATTTTGTCTCGTTGACGCGATAGCTGTCAGTCTTCCATCGATTTCAGTCGGTCGACTAGCAAATTATTATTATTATTATTATTATTTACGGAGCTTGATTGGATGTCATCACCGGTTCAGGCTCACACATCAACATCCAATCAACCATGTCTTCTATCGGAAGCGTGACGAGAATGACTGCTACCGAACACTTAGATTCACTCCACGTAGTAAATCCTTAATTTCTGAGGTCAATAGTATGTTTGGAAGGACCAATGGAATATAAATTATTCTGACTTGCCAGATTTATATCTGATATTTCAAATTTCTGTATGAAATGATGACATATTCCGTTGTCGTCTAGTCCGGTTAGGATACCTGGCTTTCACCCAGGCGACCCGGGTTCAAATCCCAGCAACGGAATTTATATTTTTTGTTGAATACAGAATAATATATGTAAATTTAGATTATATATATAAACCCTTTGTATGTTTTATTGATACAAAATGAACAAGTGCTTTATGCACATCATACATTACACTTTATGCCAGATGGTTCTTCTTCGTTCCAATTTACAGAGATAATGAGCAACAAGATAGAACAGATCAGAGACTGTGTGAATAAGCATCTGCCAATTCTATTCTTCGGTCTTCTGCCATGTTTTCCTGTGTTTCAATGTGCAGAAGTTAAGACAGCCTTCAATTGATCGAGTGCTGATGCAAATATGTCTTCTTTTCTCCCAAATATCCAATTCGTTGTATTATGTTGTTATCGAGCGCTTCTGATGAACTCGAGCACCGTCGCCACCATCTCGTCGGCCGCGGTGGTGTCCACGACGAGCCTCGGCACGTCGCTGACGTCGAAGTCGGTGCACCCCTGGTAGCCCTCCAGCAGCCGCTGCAGGTCCTCCCACGTCCCGGGCTTGTGCCACCCCTCCTCGCCGCTCCCCGCGGCGGCGCCCCTCGCCTCCAGCCGGCGGCGCCACTCGGCCGCGTCCTTGGGGCGGCACTCGACGACGACGACCCCGGCGGCGGCGGCGCCGTGGGCCAGATCGAGGAGGCGGTCGAGGTGGGCGCGGCGGGAGAGGGGAGAATCGACGACGACGGAGAGGCCGAGGCGGAGCTGGGTCGCGGCCAGCCGCCAGATGACCGAGTAGGAGAGGTCGTTGAGCAGGCCGGCGGCAGCGACGGCGGTGCCGGTGTCGGAGAGGGCGTGTTGGACGGGGAGGGTGCAGTCGCGAACGTCGTCCTTGTCGAGGAGCGGGCAGGCGAGGGCGGCGGAGATGGCGCGGGCGAGGGTGGACTTGCCGGTTCCCGGGTGACCCTTCATTGCCACGATCAACGGCGGAGGCTGCTTCTCCATTTCCGATGGCATCTCCGAGGGAGACCTCGGTCGTCTTCCTTATCGCGATGGAGAGGAGGCCACCACACAATGGAATATAAGTCGTTTCAGCAGATATTTACGAATATATTCATTTTCACCAAATCCTATTGGGAATATAATTAAATTAAATTGTTAATTATTGTTTAATTTGTGTTGCGATAAAGTCAATATTATTTTTATGATATTTTCGGTAATATAACGTCGATGATCATTAATAAATTTACTAGTTCAAAAGAAATTTAAGCGATTAATAACAATCACTCATCCATTATACATCATCAATTAATATCATAAATTCTATCAACTGTATGTTTGATGTTAATACTTCCGTCACATGATATATATATTCTTTTGTAAAGCGTTTTCCTAAACTTTGTTATGTCCAAATAAATACGTATTGAAGATTATAATGTATCAATAATTTAAGCATACTATTTGAACTATTAGGTAGACGAAAACATTAATTATATTGTCTAATTGAATAAATTACCAACTTCAAATTTGTCACTTCCTGGACAAAGAAAAACTTGTAATGTAACTCAATATCTTGTCTACTAATATTGTGTGGACAATATTATGCCTCAATATTGTGTCTCACTTCTTCAAATATACAATGTTAATAAGGTTAATAAAAAAAAGTATTTTCACAAGGTGTACTTACTATTTATAATATCATTTTAAGAATTTTATTTTTGTTCATAAATAAATATAAATACTCTTCCTTTTTTCCTCGTTCTTCTTCTTCTCTTATTCGTAAGAGACATTAATTGTAATAAACGCTCATAATATAGTACAAGGAACGAGGCATGATCGTGAGAGAAGCATAATTTGTAAATTTAGATTTTGACAATAAAATCGACAGAGGGCGACCAGATAAAATAAATTAGGGTGAAAGGGATGACGGACTTGCTTTCATTGTCACATCATAGATTTATAAAATAAAAGAAAATAAATTATTATTATTATTATTATTTTATAATTTATATTTTTTGAAAATTTAAATAACTATCTTTACAATACTAAATATTAACAGAAAAAAATACATCTTATTAGTACGACTATAAGTGAAAAAATCTCCTCCACCCAAACTTAAAATCCATTACAAAGTAATAGATTATTATAAAAATAAATACAGGATAAAAACACATCATCGTATTAGAAGGAACCTAATTAATTTTTAATATTCATAAAATATATAAAAATATTAATAATTTAATATAAAAACGATAATATATTAATTTATTATGAAGCTCATGTATAAAAATGAACCCAACGTTTCATGGGGAAAAGCTCAAAATGTGAGATTTCTCCAAAAATCATCCGTAATTAAACTCATATTAAATGATAATATCGAATGTAAATATCCAATGAAACTGACTGACGAGACATTTAGTGAGGCAACACAAAAGTGTTTATTATATTGATTTCGCGCAAACATCGTATTAACATTGCAAATTTTTTTTTATGAGAGATAACAAACCGGAAAGTAATAAATAAATGTACACAAACATCATCGTAATTAATGTGACTCCACCGGGGCGAACTATCAACCGCCGTGCACAAACCCTTAATCTCTCTGATTTCCGCATCGCTTCATTCGCTCGCTCTCTCCTCTCCGAAGGCGGCGACCACCGAAAGGGCGAAACGAAACCCTTCTCCGTTACTTTTAGCCGAGACGGCGGTCTTCTCTCCTTTATCATCGCCTCTTTTCTCGCGCTCTCCTCTCCAAGGCGGCGACGGCCGACAGGGCGAAACGAAACCCTTCTCCGTTTCTTGAAGCCGAGACGGGGGTCGGCGCATTCGATTTTTCGATTGATCCATCCCTTCCGCCATGGGGGACTACAATGATCCGTTCAACCGCAACAACCCTGCCGTGCAGGCCCGCACCAAGGCCCAGAATCGTGCCAACGTTCTCCAGTTGAAGCTCGTAATCTGCAAAAACCCTAGACGTTTATTTTTCACGGCTTTTTTCCCCCTTTCTCTGTCGATCTTTGCGCTTCTTGTTGTTAGCTTGTTGTCGGATTAGTTTTCATTGCCGTGGGTCCGAGGTTCCTCTTTTCTTGAATCGATTTGAGTACCCCCGTGGTAAATTTTGGTTTTCTTGTTATGCTCATGTTCTTAATGATTTGCCTGCAAAAAGATCAGAAGAGTCGTTTAAGGGTATTGACTTCTGCTCCATGTTTTGCTACTTGAGATTTTAGTTACCTGGATACATATAATATGCTTGTAGCAGGAGTCTACTGTGATGGATGAATATTCTGTGTGCTGTATATTTTTTCCTTGATGCATTCTTGAATTTTTATCAGCTTAGAATTGTAGGTTCTTTATTAATCGTATACTTAGAAAACATTGTCTTGTCTACTTAGGTGTCTACATGTTTCGTCCCTTTAAGCGCATATAATGTGCGTTTGTATGTCTTTCTTGGTTTTTATTCTACATGTTTTTATCTTTGTTGGTGGCGATGCATCGTTTTCCATCTCTGCCATAATATTGTGCATAAATGCCCTGTGGTATTGCTGTTTACGGTTGCTTGTATGTTGGTATCTTTACTAACAGATTGGGCAGAGTCATCCAACTGGACTTACCAACAATCTACTGAAGCTTTTTGAACCTCGTCCTCCATTGTTGTATAAACCTCCTCTTGAGAAAAGGAAATGCCCCCCATATACAGGTGGCTACTCCCACCAAATAATTACTTTTCTGTTGAACAAGGAGCCCAGTGAAGTCTGATATTTTCCCCCCCTTTGTTTTTAGGGATGGCACAATTTGTGAGCCACTTTGCTGAACCCAATGATCCTGAATATGCTCCACCTGTCATTGAGGGAGAAACCCCGGTGAGATTTTGAACTATGTTTCATGATTTATGTACTTCATTAGTTTCACTTACTCCATTAATAGAATTTCATAGTTCAGACTTGTCTTAACTCTTAATTGGCTAGTTGGTCATCCACTTTAAGAGTCTCGTAGCTTTTTTATGGTGATTTGCAACAGTTTAATTCTGATCTAAGATTCTCATTTTGCTGTTTTCAAGCAATTTAAATTATCACAATTGAGATTATGGAAAAGGAAACTTTTGGAAAGGAAATTTATGGAATTGTGGTGTCTTGCATGCTGGTTTCCTCACCATGCTTGTAATGCCTCAAAGGAAACTGAGGGAACATCAATTTCTGAGTATGTCTGTGAGAATGTATTTTTAATAAATCTCCACGACAATTAAAATTCAACATATATCATTCATTTATAACTAAAAATACGAGGATAGGAAGTCAGAACACTCTTTGGTTAGGTTTGGTAGGACTGTACACGTTTGATGAGTGGAAATTTACTGTTCAGTTGATCCAATTGACAATTCTTCTATAGATAAATTGTTCTATGGGTTGCCATTATGGATATTAATATTTATTTTCCTATTGGTGGAGTAGTACAACCAAATATCATTTCTGTGTGGTACACCATGCTAGCAGAGTACCCCAAAAAGCAACTACATTATATACATTGTGGTGAATGTGGATGTTTTTTCTCCATATATGTTAATGAGTTTGAGATAATTATCATTCTTTTTGCTTGAGCATTTGTTTCCAGAACTACACAATTCACATACACCTGTAGAATTCTACATACTTAATTGTGACGTAAAAGAGTGTGATATGACATTGACACCAACTAAAGCAGTAATCAGATTCAAATCTGGGGTTCGTTCAAAATTTAACATCTTACAAAAGGGATATATATGAGTTTTATTTTTACATGACTGATGTGAATGGGTAAGTGGTCCAATATCTTTTGCCTGTTTCCTACACCTTAGAACTTTTGCACTGCTTTTATATGCTGCCAACACAATTGTTTGCTGAGCCTTGGATTAAAAATGTCCCATGATATCAAATGGTCTTGATTTTAATGTCCAGGAATTTGTAAATTGTCTTCTTTAGCATTATGATTGATTTATGTTCTTGGAAAAAGTCAATATTATTTTGAACCTGAAGAAAATGTGAAATGTTTTTTGCGGTTTTGGATTCTCTTGGACATAATTTGACTCTTATACCATCTATAATCCTGTAGATATGTTAGACACATATTAACTATTGGAAAGCTTTAATATGCCAGATATTGACAATGCATGTTTAAGATAGACTTTTGCTTATTGCAAATGTTTTGCCTATGTGTTTGAAGCGATTCTGTGAACATCTTTTACTCTTGTGAACCGCTTTATGTTACATATAAATTTTATGTATAAATTGACATTATGCTTCTTATAAATTCCATGTATAATGATTATACATTTAAATTATACTGCATATGATTATGATAATGTATCAAAGTTTACATGTATTAGTTGCCATGTCTATTGTCTGATAAAACCTACCAAGGAAAATGAGGGACAAATATCTGAAAATGTCTATCAAACAAAACTTCATTTGCTAACATAAAAAGGGCAACTGCTTCATAATATTCCATTCACAATATGTAAAACAGATCTGGAAGGCTCAGTTTTTGAACTTGCTTGGTCTGTTTATAATCAGCTTTGACTTAAGTTTTCCAAGCCTCTATTTCCTTTGTTATTTTTGCTGATCCTTTCGCCCCCATGACATTTGCCTCTCCACTTTTTCAATGTTGCTGCCACTTCTCAATGCAGGAGAGTAATCGTATGAGTAAAGATTCATCATGAAGCAAATTTTTATTGCTGAAAGCATGATGATATTCTTTAGGGTTTCCTACATGTTTGTTCAAGCCTTTACAAGCAATCACAAAAAATGCTTAGCATAAGATCACAAATGTATCAAATGATAAAGGCAAGCTTGTACAGCTCAGACCTGGATAAACCATTCTTTCTTGTGTAGAATAGCATAATATAATATTACTTCTCTTCCATTGTTTTTCTGAAGTTTGTGTTGGTGATATTAATCTTGTTTGGTCTTATCAATCAAGACTATGGTGAAAGTAACCTCTGCTAAGAGAAAATATTAAAATTTTAATATTCTACATGTGAGACATGTTTGGTGTGCTTTTGCTCCAAGTCCTAAAGATACATTTATTCGAAGTAGACAGTCTGTTCTAACTACTAAGTGTGATAGAACAATCCTTTTTCATGGTTTTGGTGCATACACCTTTTTCAATCCTTGTTTGATGCTTGTTGCATCCTATTAATATGCCTTGCCTTTTGTATTCATATCATATGCTTTTCCCTAAACAAAAAGCTTTAGTTCTTGCAAGTAACATGTTATTGTTCCCTTCGAATGTTGACACTACTTTTACTCAACTTCATGGTTGTTTTATGTGTATTACCTTCTTTCCATTTTTGGATTATTTGCAAATGAAAGGGGTTGGGCTTGAAGTGAACAATGTTATAGTGAAATGTGAATTCTTTGTTTTTTGTGTTTGCCTAACATGTACTGGATGACTGTATAAACTATGGTTGTATCATATCTATCTTTATTTTATTGTTGTAAGTGGTCAAAGACAATGATCTAGAACCTTTGTTGCATGGTTGATTCATATATTTTGAAGCTACTATGAACTATGAACCACAACTTGTCTGTAGTCACACCTGCAACAAATAACTTCCCTCGAGTATATATCCGTTAGATACTTTTATGGATATTTTTAGCATAATTTTTTAATATGGTAATAGACACAAAGAAGGGCTAGGATCCGGAAGCTTCGACTTGAAGAGGGTGCAAGGAAGGCTGCTGAGGAATTGGAGAAATGTAATCATTCTACAACCACAAAAAATCTTCTTGTAGAATTTGGGCTTTTAGGTGTTTTCCTTTCAATTCACTCTATTAAAATTTCTATGCAGATGATCCATCTAAAGATCCTCACGTTACTGGAGATCCGTATAAGACTTTATTTGTTGCGAGGCTTGTAAGTTGTTTGCCTTTTTAGGTAATCTGTATTTGTTCTTTTGTTTTGTGTGTGACCTAGTGTATCATTTGTTAAAATTCTTTTGCAGAACTATGAAACCACTGAACACAGAATCAAAAGGGAGTTGGAAACTTATGGGCCAATTAAGCGGGTAAGTATATTGGACTATTCCTGTTGGGAGCTCCTGATATCGCTCTCAACTTGGGTAAGAATTTTAATAATTTCATAGGGAATCAAAAGGCCCCCATATGCTGGTTTGAAACATGAAATTCCAGAAGTCACATGTTTCCTATTTTTCCATGAAGTTAGTTCTCAATTTCATTTTGATTTTTCTTCTTTCATGGCAATTGCTCTTTTTTTTGGTTTAAACAACTATTACTTCATATGTACACCATGAGTTTTCATATCACCATTAACATGTAATTATTTGAATCATCCATACAGTAGCATGTTCAAGGGCAATATTTTCAGACTGATTTACATGGATGCGATAGTTAAAAGAAGTAAAATAAATAATATTATTGGTACGAGGAGAGATAGAGGAAGACCTAAAAAGACTTTAATATAAATTATAAATAAAAATTTAAGTATTCTTAATTTAACTAAACATATGATTTTTTTATCGATCTCAATGGCTGAAAAGATTCATGTAGCCGATCCTAAATAGTTGGGACTTATAGTTTTGTTGTTGTTGTTATTGTTGTCGTATTTGCATGTTCATGATTGTAACTTTTGTCAAAAAAAATATGACTTGTTTTTTTGTTTCCTATAAAAGTAGTGGATATTCAGGTAAATGGAGTATGAGGATGTTGTGGCTAATGAATTGTTGATCTGCTTGCAAGTCAAATATATAGCTAGAAATTTTTATTATTTTGGTTGGATTTAATTGTGTGTTACTTTGATTGTAAGAGGTGATGCAAATGTTCATTTTGCATGTTATGATGCCAATTGGTGCCTGTAGTGGATGGTATGAGGTTTTGGCATGATACACAGTATACATTGATGGTATATGAACTTTTAATTTAATTTATTTTAACGGAATATCAGCACATCAGGTAATCCTGTTAAGGTAATAATTTTTTGTTATATCATGTGTACAACTTTTTCCTTCTTTAAGTATCGTTGCTAGTTGAGATCGCTAAGGAATTAAAAAAATCAGAGACTTCATTTGCAGCAAAGGTATAAGGAGCAATGGAAGGTATATGTTCTCTAGATGGAAAAATGAGTTTATCTGATATATTATCTTTTGGTTTCTTGGTTATTATCTTGGCAAGTAGAATCATTTGAGGATTCAGAACATAATTACTTGGTGAAGATATCACAGGTAGTGACAGGTAAATTCTCCAGGTGCATGTAGGTTATGCTTGATTTTTCCCTTTTAATCTTTTATTTAAAGATCATTTAGATGTTTAGATATTTAGATGGCATCCTGCCTTTTAGCAAGTGGTAAGTGAGATTCTATCATTAGCAAAATATCTGGGAATAAGTGGATTATTATGTGAACAGTAAGTTTTCATACTATTTGTTCTCTGTCAATGAAGAACAATGCTCTTTCTGCAATCTACATGGAGCCATATTTGTGACCAGAGTCTTCAAGCCGTAAAGGAAGAATACCTCTTTATTTTCTCCATCAATTTTCCTTCTGTCAACACAAGTTTCAGGATCACTAGCAAGGTCTTTCTTCATTGTCCAAGTTGAAGAATGTGCAATTTTACTCACTTATAGTGTTGCTTTTATTTTAAAGGCCAAATGAGAATATATCTGTGATTCGGCGTGTTTTTTGTGGTACATCACTTTGTTTATGTTTCACTATTCATAAATTCCTTGGTAAGAAGATGGTAAATGATTTGTTTCCTCTGCTAAACGGGGAACATACACCAATCTATCTGCCAACTCAATCATAAGGTGGTGATACATCTCCCTTGGTGAAGCTGTATTTCAATAAAGGTGAGCACGGCTAGTGAGGCATGATGCCTGCTGTCGTGCATTTTAGTAGGATACAGCCAGCATATTTGTCAATAGGATACCTGATATATTTTCTTTATTTATATTGTTTTTTTATTTTACAATTATGTCTCTTCTACTCTCAACTTCTCAGGTGAGATTAATTACTGACAAGGTGACAAATAAACCTAGAGGTTATGCCTTTATCGAGTATATGCATACACGAGATATGAAAAGTACGATTACAACTGGTTTGATTATTTTTAAAAAATTTAAACATTAGTCTACATGCATAGTGGTGACTGCATTTGTATCCTTTAAATCATGCAGCGGCATACAAGCAAGCTGATGGTCGAAAGCTGGATAATAGAAGGGTGCTTGTGGATGTCGAGCGTGGCAGAACTGTTCCAAATTGGCGACCTCGAAGATTGGGTGGTGGACTTGGATCAACCAGGATTGGAGGTGAAGAAGTAAATCAAAAACATTCTGGAAGGTAATTAATATAAATTTTCAGTTATCTGTAATGTTTTAGTGTAATTTAGCATTATTTTTGTGTGTTATATTTCTTTTGCAATGTTCTTTATTTTATGCTATTTATTTTATTTTTAGTTTGTGTTCATATTTATTTTTGTACTACATTCTATGTTATTGTTAGTTACCGGGGTACTTTATTAAGCTAGGAGTTTTTTACCTGAATATTTTTGTATCACCAAGTCAAAAGTTCTGGAACAGTTTGTAACTTTATAAGTTGCCATCTGAATAATTGACAGTTATTCTTTCCTACTTTTATAAATATCCATTTGGAAGCTTTCACATGCTGAAAATTAAATTCTTGCTGGCTTGAGCTTTGTTGGTGTCTTCTGGAAGTATATTAGTTCACATCATGGTGGTACACAATACACACTGTAATGCAGCATGCTCATTACATTTATACTTGAAAGAGTTAACTTGCATTTACCAGAGATCCTGCCCAATAACTTTTTTTAACTTCACCAATGGACCCGTCAGGTTTTCAAGAGAGCCATATAGGATAAGAAAGTTCATATTTGCCCCTATAAAGAAATAGTTTGCATGAAATAAAGTGAATTTACTCGCACCAGTTCCTTTGCAGATAATAGACCACCTCAATTTTAACAAGTGTCAATGGCCATGCATGTTTTCAGAAATCCCATCTGTGTTAACACTCTAGAAAGTTCTCCTGAGGTGTAGGTGAGGAAGTGGGAGGGAAGAAGAGGTAGGAAAAAATAAAAGCCGTTCAGTTTTGGCTCATGTAGGAGATAATTTGCAAATGAAGGCACTTTTGTATTTTAGTAACCTAGATTTCTCTAGGTTAGTATGATATCTATGGGCCTGTGGTGACAAGGGCAGTGGTGCAAGGAAGCTGATTCACAAGAATCTGTATGCAAATTTAACACGTAGAAGGGGTAAATATGTGTTTAGTCCCCTGATTTTGAAGTCCTTTCCACTTCTAGGGGCATATACACCGTGGACAGTTTAGGTCCTTTGAGTTAGGTGGATATGCTTTTTTCTCAAATTTAACTCTTATTGTGTCTCATGAGTTTGAGACTCTTGTGTGACAAACTTTATCTACTGTTAAACAGGGAGCAACAGCAAATTGCTGCGGGACACTCAAGGTCAGAGGAGCCGAGGGCTCGAGATGATCGGCAACTAGACCGGTAAGGCCTCTGTATATTTTTGTAAGCTGACATTCTGTGAAGTACAAATATTTGAAATGACCGATTTTCTTTGCTTAAAACAATAACAAGGATAGTGTACAATAACCCTCGTCTTTTACTTATCTTTTATTGTATGCGGCTAAGTTATTAAGCTATATTTTCCGTGGACAGGGAGAAATCACGAGAAAGAGGAAGAGATAGAGAGCGAGAAGTGGAAAGGCCTCGTGATCGTTCTCGTGAAAGAACACGAGATCGAGATCCAAGGGAAGAAAGGCACCACCACCATAGGGACCGCGATAGGAATCGAGAAAAGGAAAGGGAAAGAGATCGTGGGCGGGAACGTGATCGGGGTCGAGGCAGAGACAAGGATAGAGACCGTGGTCATGAGTATGATCGCGAGCGTGAACGTGATCGTACACGGGATAGGGACAGGGAGCGTGAACGAGATTACGATCATGCTAGCCATGAAAGAGAGAGCGGATACTCTCTTGATAAGGATTCTGAGCATGGGCGTAGTGAGTCTAAGCAAGGCAGGGAGAGGACTGAAGCAAAGGAGAGAGATCTTGAACATGATGATTATGGGCAGGGATGGTACAATGAACGAAGCAAGCATGGGCATGAACGCGACTACAAACAATTTGATCAATCACAGCAGTACGATCGAGTTCAGCACCAAGGTGTTGTTGAACCCGAGCATGAGCAGGAGAGGCCAAGCCGACATGAAGGCGATTATTATGATCGCGCTCCTTATGACAAGGGTCAGGCTGGTGATTACCACCATCAATATGGGTATGCAGATTATGAGGCACGTGAAGAGGGGGAGGCAGTGGGAGATGATTATGGATACCATCGTTCAGAGCGATCTCTCTCCCGGGAGTATGAGAACTGATAGCTGGATGCCGATGGTAACTACTGCTCTCTGCTGGGCGAATAGAGCTTCTTAGCCACTCTTTTCCGAGGCCTCCTGCATTGAACTCTTGCTTATTTTCTCCTTTTGTAGGTTTCACTGTTTTTTGCCCATCAATATCTGTTGTCAAGGAGTGTGGACGTTCGATGGATGGATCCTTCTGGACCCGGAGGTAGAATCATATAATTTACTGCCTGTGGTGGTTGTCTAGTGGTGCTTGTTAGATGCAGCATCGACGAACTTGGACTAAAGTTTTTTTTTGTTTTGTTTTGTTTTGGGGAACCCTTGTGTACTTATGCATCTCTGCTATTGCTGTGTGGTAATCTAAAGTTTGGACTATTTGGAAAATAATTAGCTGCACACGAATGTGAAAAAGCCGTCATTATAATTATATTGAATTTGATTTTTTTTATACATTTGTTTTCTTTCTCTTAATATGTATATGTAAAATGCCCTCACACTAATTAAATTTATTCAAAAAGTGTTAAAATTTGGTTCTTATATATTTACTAAGTCAAAAGTTATTATATAAAATCTCATATAAGACAAATAACAAATAAAATCGAATAATTTTGATTAATTTATATATATTTTTTGAAGTATTTTAATTTTTATATTAAAATTTTTATAATTATGTAAGTAAACATTTAAACTCAATTTATTGTTATGGTTTTATCAACGAAATATATAACTCAGATAATTTTAACGATGATAATATTATGGATAATCTAAGTCAACTAATACAGAGAATTTCCAACAACATACAACAGGGAGATGCATGATGAATCAGTATAATGAACCAGGCTTGGGAAACAGTCCGATGACAAAACAGTTGCAACATATGATGCATAGCAAAGGAACTAAGAAAAGCGCTGGCAAACTTTAATGCTGCTTCTCAGAGCCTTTAGACTGACCTGGTTGGAGTGATGCATCTGAGAACTTAATGTTCATGGTTTACATCTTGATGTTCAGTCTCTTATAGATATAGTAGTTAATTCGACAGGAGTCCCAGTTCAGCCACAAACTAAAGTTGTCCGCTTTAACACAATAAAGCCAAAGATTAGATCACCTTCCTGTGTCCTCCAAAAGCCCAGATCTGCTAAGATAATGGATAGTCTGAGTGTGTGCTAATAGAGAACGATTATCTTTTCATTCTCAAGCAAATTATATACATTATGAAATTATGAGTAATCAAACACATGAACAAAAAGAAGCCAACAATTGATAAAGAAAGGCAAAAAAAAAAAATCATATTAATGATATATTTTTCATGATCAATGTATAAGGGGCAGTGTTATGTGAAGTACAACAGTTTTTTGTGATGTTTTGGGAGACTAGGATGGTGTGAGTCTAGCAGTGACAGAGGTGGGAGGAGTGAAGTGAGATGAAGAGGTTGAGATGGAAGAAGGCTAGGAGCAATAAGAAGGGAACTAGAAGAATCTCAGATGAAGAGGGTAGAGGCATCATGCAGCATGAGACGGAGCAGGGCGTCAGCATCAGATATCGAAGAAACTTAAGTGAGTTAACTGGTTATGTCTCACAAATTGAGAAACTTTGAAGTCATTCTGGTTCAAGAACAATCAGCAAATTAAAGTCAAGTTAAGGTCTTTAGGATCATTATTTATATGTAGGATCTAGATCATACATGATCCTACAATTTAGATTCAGATCCAAAAACAATCCCACTAATTTCATAAAATATACCCAACTTACATGGCATAAGTTGGCCTGAATTGCAGGATCATAAGATCCTAAGATGTGGATCGGGTTTTGATAACCATGTTTTTTAACTTCTTGATGTCTTCTAAATCCTCCTCTTCTTTCCCCACCTTTTTTTTTTCCTCTCAACATCTCATCCCCATCCCTTCATCAAGAGTTCAGACATGAAGATGATGTATGACTAAGAAAGTCATTCAAAAATATCATCAAATCTGTGTTTGTGCAGGGAAAGCTACATTCAAGCATAAAGATGCTGTAAATGAACAGAAAGTTCCATTGAAAATTTTATCATAACTGTACTTTAAACAAAATGCTCAATAGCATAGTTGTCAAAGCTATAGAATTTCTAGTGACACCATACGACCAAAGCAAGTTGTACGATGCTAGAATGCCCTTATCATAGAATTTATTTAAATAATAGTTAAAAGAAAAAATAAATAACGAAATATAATTATACTTTTCAACCACACCAAACTTAAGTCACAGACTGAGATGTATATTTATCATGTGGATAACTTTAAATTCAAATATTTCAACACTACTGTAATCGCCTCATGGAAAAAGAGATTAATTATTTCCTAAATGTGTTTATCCCTTGTAGAGAACTTGATTAAAGAGTTGAACTTCGAAAACTAACCTTCAGGTTCTTGTCCCAACTTCCTGTGCATAAAGCACTCCCATCAGCAGACAAACCTAAGCAGCTTATGCGGCCCTCGTGAGAATTCTGTAGCTTTCCCAGATTAACAACTACCTGAAACAACATAATATACTTACGAGTCAGTTATATTCACTGCAGAAATGTAAAATACAGAGACATTAAAACAAGGGCGTATATTCATGCATGTGGGTGCAAGAATTTAAGTATATGTCCAACTGATTTAGGTAGTCAATCAGACCGCCATAGCACAGGTATACCAGCCTGTACCATTTGGTATCATTGAAAAAATATATATTAAAAAAGAGCTGACATGAACCGATATTGAGCTATAATTTGGTGCTGGTAGTTGGACTGGTAATAATCAATCCGCATATGCTGTTCTGAAAGGTATCTAAAACCTTGGAGTTCTTGCCAACTATTGGCACTGGGGTACACCTTAACATCAGCTTTACATTTATTATGCCAGTTTGTGCCAATTAGCACCGATATTATTGATAATGGGTCCATGTAATGTCATGTACACCTTAACATAAACTTTATATTGCTGATTTGTGCCAATTAACAGCAACAATATGATTATATCTTTTATGATGGGTCCATGTCATGTCATTATGACATCAACAAATGTCACCATGAGGTGCAAGCTCCAAATGCATGCACGAAAATAGGTACACGCTCTGCTTTGTTGATTGACTACCATACGAAATTAGCATATGCTCTTCTGAAACCGCCAAGCTCATAGTTACTTGTTCATGATCAGATGATGCACAGATTTGTTTGAGCAAGATGTTTACAATCAACCACATTACAAGTATAACAAGTCATATAAGGTTACAGTGCAAAATTTTTTGTCCTATATAACCTGAGTCGTTCATTTTTAAAAATCGAACATCACAACATGAATTGTGACCCTGCATATTTCCATCATACTTTTGGAGGATTCCTTATTGCACATTACTGAATGCACAGTTGTTGTCATGCAGGTTTTTGCAGCATGGCTAATATAATATCCCTGTAAGTAACAGTAAGATTCTTCTTGCAAAATTATTAGACCATCTAGACAATTGCAGAAGTTGCATTTGAAAATATCACAATAATGAAATTAGGAATATCCTATTCACATCAAACAAAATAGTTCAGAAAAATAATCTTTGACCAAATGTACTCTTTTTGTCTGATCACTAAATTTGTCCAAAGATTTCCAGTACTTCCTGCCATGAAGTCTAACTAATAGATGCACTTCTCTATTTGTAGAGAGATGAATTTCAGTTCCTTCTATACACATACCACTTTTAGATAATATTGATGGTTATGCTTTGAACAAGTATACCTATATATATATATTCACGAACAAGCATCCTGAATTCATTCATTTTAAGACCAGCTATTAAAGCTTAGATCATTATGACCAAATCAACTAGCATTCTGTTAGACAATGCAACAATCTCATCTTTGCTATTCAATTATTAAAAAGTCAACATTTCAACATTCAGATGACAACTCTATCTGAGAGAAAAATCCAGCTTAAGAAAGATAATTACCCTGATAATTATATCTCAAATGGAGAAACTAACAATCAATGGATCAACTTATAGAACAGCATCATGCTTGCTAAAAAGTTTACCATGAGAAAAAAATTGATAGACACAGAGCCATAATCTCTTGTCAGGAAATGAGCCTGACATGATTACATGTATCTTGTTCATTTGTCACTATATTTATCAAGTAACCTAGTCATGCATTTAACAATTGCTGTCCCATTGATTGTTACGGATCAAACTATGACACAATTACATATCTTTTGTTCATTTTCCAATATCGTATCAAGTATCCTAGTCATACATTTAACAGTCACTGTCCCATTGATTATTATGGATCAAACCATGACATGATATAAATATATCATATATGTTCAAATGACACTTCATTTAAGATCCTTAAATATTTTATGCAAATTGCTTCCAAAGCTTAGGCAGACTTATCCTTCTTATAGTTAATGAAATTTATGTTCAATGGACAAGCTGAATATTTCATACCTCAGCTAAGAGAGTATCCCACACATAGCAATCACCATTGGAGTACCCAGCAAAGAGGAGTCTTCCAGATATAGAGAATGCTATGGATGTGACAATTGGGATATCTTGGTCATTGTTGGCTTGCTGTTGAGAGTATACTTGAAGCTGATGCCCTGTTCTCATATCAAACAACCTGCATGTTCCATCATCTGACCCAGTTCCAAACCTTTGTCCATCTGGGAAGAACTTGACAGAGTTAACATCACCATGGTGACCATGATATGTTCGAATGGCCCGACTAGCAATTCGAGTATCCCATAACCGAGCAGTTGCGTCGCAAGAACCAGAGACAAACATATTTGAATTCGAACTGTTGATTGAGATGCTGGAAATTGGGAAAAGAACTTTCTAGTTATTAAATGAACTCTCCAGAATTAAGTATGTTTGGTAAATAATCAAACTAGATATTTTTTTTATTATTCTCCAAAAATATTCAAAAGCTTCAGATAATCATACTATGTTTGGTAAATCTTCAGCTTGGCAGTTAAATAGCTTAAGGATTCAGCAGGATGTATTCCAAATAACAAAGAAAGAATTGCAAAGGATGTCTAGACACCGGTTTATGCCAAATTCCATGAGTTTGTATGAAGTTTTTGTGAGAAACCAAGGATCACAAATTGGTAATGGAAAAAGAACAACAAAGATATGCTACAGCAGTCTTAAGTGAAAACAAAAAATGCCGTTTTGAGTATCGGACCCATATCGATCCTTGGGTTGGACCAATATGCCCTAATTTTACCAATGTATCTAACACATGGTACATTGGTAGTATTGGTGTTTTGAAGAGGAAGAAGAAGGAGAAGAGGAAGGAACAGATGGTGATGGAGGGAGGAGGAGGAAGGAAAAGGAAGAAGAGGAAGATGGAGGAAGAGGAAGGAGGAAGAGAAAGGAAGAAGAGGAGGAGGTATAAGTGGGGAATGTGAACAACAAGGGTGGCAAATTTGCATTCCCCGCACATGGAGAAAAGGGCTTGTGAAAACTATTCTTTTAATTTGTTTATTTTTTTATGGGTTGGATTGGATCGTCTGAAACGGGATCAATCCACATACCAATTCACGTCCGGATTGGTTCATACCATCCGCTTCATATCGGTCCAGCGTTCCTTAAGTAAAAATAGCAATATTGCAGAGAAATCGCTCAAACTAGGAATCTAGAAAAATCAGATAGATAAATTTTTAACAAGTATACCTTGGAAGTAAAATGTCTACTACCAATATTTTTTTTGCACTTGATATCAAGTCTCATGTATGTTTAAGTCCACAATGAGAAATCTAAGAAATACCTCAATACATCAGATGTGTGTCCTGAAGGAAATTCACCACCAAAAACAGAGATCCTCTGTCCAGTAGTCACATCCCATAATACACATGTCTGATCACCTGAGCCGGTAATTAAGCGAGTATCCTGATCACGGACAAACTCACAAGAAGATACATAGCCCTTGTGTCCAGTAAGAACCCTTGAAACTGGTATGTTACCATCTCTGTCAACTTGAGAATTAAGATTGAAAATGGAGCATTCACTATCAAGGCCACCACATGCAACAGAATGTCCATTTGGAGCAAAGGCACAGGTCATGACCCAAGCACAAGGAAGCTTAATAGCATGTGTTTTCTGGCTTGTCAAAGCATTCCATATAATTAACCTCCCATCCTGGGATGCACTAACTATGCGATTTTTTTCAGGCGTCCAATCCAGTGAATAGACCTGGCAAAATTCTCGGCAAACAATCTTCATCAGGTATATTTCTGAAGTTAGTATAAGAAGAAAATGGAAGACAAAGAAATCATAGGCAGCATATAGGGCATATTCAGGCTTTCATCCCAGGTGGGCCAAATATAATGGCATCATCCAAACTAATTCCACAAGTACAATTCATTTATTAACATAATAGCAGAAATTACATTTTATGATAAATTTTCTTCATTTTATAGTTATGTACTTTTCTGATCCTTATGGTTATGTATTATCTAGAATGATATAACACCACAATACTTCATTTACAACTACAAGAATCAATAACATTTTCCAAGACACTACAAATATGAAATATCAACTATTTATATGGAGTTAAATCAAAATATATTCCATCTTATTTTAATAAAAATGAGTTTGTTTACCCTTTTCCTACTAGGATGGATGTGAACATATAAACAAACATAAAAGTTCCTCTAATAACATCAACTTTGAAGAAGCTTATCAGAATGATAGAAGCACAATGGTTGACTAGATACTGCATGATATGACCTAATTTCATCCCTATATATTATCTTTCTTCATATGGAATTCCTCACCCCACTGCATGCTAAACAGAAAGATAAATAAAATAAAGCAACCAATATTTAAGTCTTTATCCTGTTATCTTTTAGAATGAGTGGGAGTTTGATAGTATGAATTCACATTTAACTTCTGCAAAAAGAGGCAATTACTCCAGCAATTTCAGCTGAGCTATGTGAATATATGCTTTTACTCCTCGTATTTCTTCTCCATATTGCTTTGAGATCAATAAGAACCCCCATGAGATGTCAAAACTCGAAATGCCCTTTAGGATGCCTTAGTATATTGTGACTGAATTCTCAGTTCTTCTCAGAAGATGCTCAGTAAATTTGATGACACAGTTCAAAAGCCAAGGGGCAAAGGGGAATGTTCAGCCGATCAACTAAAGGAAAGCTTGCAAGAAACAGCAAAAACGTAGTATATGTGTTGAAATTTGAATAACAGTGAGATACCTTTCCTGTATGACCCTGCAATGTCCTACAGCAAACCAGATCCGTCGAGCTAAAGTTGACTGCCGTTCTCCCCTGGCTCTTCGCGTATCCAGCCACTACAAGAACCGACACCAAATCCGAAGACCCCATCAAAAAATGAAAAGAAAGACGAGAGAAAAGGGACTAAGCCCTCACATCAATCAAGAGAAACCAAAGCTCCTGAGAGAACAGGCCCACCGTCCGTATCAAGAAGCTGCTGCCGCTTCTGATTCAGCCGATCCCTCAAAGTGTTCACCGTCGCCGTCGCGGCCACGTGCCGGTCCTTGAGCTCCGAGAACGACATCAACCAGACCCAATACCCAAAAATAAGAAACTCTTCCTGAAATTCCAAAAGATGAGAGGAAATTTGACGGTATTCCGCCGACACCGCCCTGCGGGGAGCTCGATCCGGACCCCTAGCCCTTCGTCCCCACACTGAGGAGAATGCGATTGGAGAAGAGAAGGGGGAGGGGCAACCGATCGAGCGTTAGGGCTCAGAGAGGTAACAGAGAGGAGGAGAGGGCGGCGAAAAGGAAGACGAGGAAGAGCAGCAGCAACTGTTCGGGAAGGACGGCGAGGACGGTATTTAAGGGGGCAAATGGGAAACGGGGTTGGTCGCGGACCGGCTGCTACCATGGACACGTGTCATCATCATAGCCAGTCGGACCAATTTCGATGCAGTCGCGTTGTGATGGCATCGAGCTCGCGAGAAGGCCGAGTTGAAGCCGCCGGGGTCCACACGGGACGTTGGCAGACCTGATCACTGGTCTGAGCTGGATTGGAGCGGGTGAGATCACAGGCAATGTTTTTTCCTACCCGTTCGCTAGTTACCTACCCTGTGATTGGTGGAATATCTAGGCCCCACCATTGAACTGCCTACCGGTACCAGAGTTGTGTCTAACGGCTGAACCGGTAGCAGATGCGGGGATCGGTCGTCTGGTTTAAGTTCGAGTTGGGGGTCGTCTCCAACACGTACGGCATCGTAAGCTCCTCGCATCTCGACCGTCGAGCTGGTGGGGTCGGTGAGTTCGACAACAGTCTTAAAGCTGTCACCTCCCCGGTTTTTGATACCGACCGACTCTCACTTGGGTAATCGAATCAAACAAGAATCACATCATCCCACTTCCACATATCTCTTAGAAATATAAGAGATATAATACAATATCCTCCCACATAAAAATCATATTCTAATCTCAATCTGCAGGCTTATTGCCTTCCATGAATGCATAAGCATTAACATCCTTCCACCATCTGAAAGCCATGTTGATCTAATCTAATCTGCAGAGATCCACAAATAAATTGATGCACTGGTGTTATTACATGGAATAAAAAAACTCAAAAGTCAAGGCTTCCATGTAAGATGGTATCCAGGGTCAAAACATGTGAGTTCAGATGCCATGTCTGACTCAGATTACAACCCTGGAGGATGCCACAGAATTATTTTGTAGCTGGTAGACGAGCATATGATATATGATGCTAAGTGATCCAAAGTCACACTCTTGGCAGCATAGTAGAATCAGATGGGGTGCCAGGTTCCACCTGCAGAGAATACATACATGTAAGGAAGCTTCTCCATCAAATGGCAAAGTAGCAACCACTCTAAGCTTTGCACAGGACGTTAATAATTTAATATTAGTAGGAGAAAAGAAAGAAAAAGGAAATAAAAGTTAGCTTTTGGCCTATTAAAAGATGCTATTCTAGAAATACTTCAAAGCATCAGCCTACTTGTTTAATCATAAGATACATCCCTCTGAAAGCAGTTTATTTTTCCTCCACATCCAAGGAAACTTGACACAATAGATAATCTAAAGATAACTAGACATGATAGGAGAAACTAACCTGTGATTAATCCATGTTCTTTTACAGAATTCTATAAATGAGAATCTATAAAGCATAAAAGTTTCAGAGCTAAATCAATGAAGACCCCAGTACTAATACATCTACCATTCGCAGAAAAAGCAATGCACATGTATTTATATCTAGTAAATTGTTAGCAAAGGTGTCCTCAGCAACAAGTACTTTTGCTGTCTTGAGATTGTAGAAAAATATAAATGCAAAACTGTTTTTGCTACTAACTTTACCAAATGATAATATATATATAGACTTTTATATTCTTCTCCATAGCACACGCAATACTAACAGAACATCCTCTATTTCAAAGTCATATTAACAGCCTCACAGGTTTTCTTGTGTCCATCCCCAGTCTCAATTTCCTTCTTTTCCTTTGGCCCCTCTCCTCTACTTTTTCTTTTTATGTTGGCTAAAATTGACATAATCCACAGAGTTCGACCGAATATAACCCAATTCTTACTGGTTTCTGACAATATTTTCAAGTAGTTGGTAGAAAACCAACCACAACACAAAATGGGTGTATCAAACTGAAACTGACGTGGCCAGAAAGGCTGGCCATTGGTTGAATACAACTTGCAGGTAAAAGGCAAATAAACAGAGAAACAGTGCTCTGTACCTCTTCATTACTTTTCATTATCTTTTACACGTCAACAACATGAGCATAACGGATCAAACACTTCCATTATTAAATTGTACAGGAAAAAATTGCAGATCTCTATTTTCCACCACCCACTCTGAAAGAATATGCACAGATGCCTTATTGACCAGATACATAATTATAAATATAGATGGAAATGAACATGCCAATAAAAATTCAAACGCAACTTTTAGCATGTGAGTTTCATGATGCAAGTTATATTCCAAACGCAATAAATGAAATACTTGCAAAAATATAAGTATTTAGCAGGCACAGATGTACCTCAAGATATCTTGTTAACAAAGTGGTTGTGCTAAAGTTAAATCCCTGAACAGGCTCCCTTTTTGTGTGAGATAAGTGCAGTTGCTTTCTAACTTGAGATGCCAAGACCTGGAAATTTTGATGGTATAAACAAATCTCATTCATGAGAAACACTGATGCAGGAACAAACATAACTCACTAAATTAAGATCTTAGCTAATCATGGTCACATATACAATGAATCCAACTACAGGAAGTTACGAAAACATATATCCAAAATTAAAGCATTATAAACATACCTTGCCGAGTTCCACACCCCACTGGTCAAAAGAATTAATCCCCCATATGAAGCCTTCAACAGCAATTCTATGCTCATAGATGGCCAATAGCTGAATGAAATCAAATGATAGCAGCTGTTATGCCAGGATATGTATAGGGAACTACTAGAAAATGCAAATGTCCCTTACATTCATTAAAAATGAGTTCTTCATATCAATGTCATGGAAATTGAAGAGAGATAAAGATCCTATGCTTAAAATACACGAAACCTTGTAAAGTTACACGGACCTTTCCAATATTATAAGCATCTAAGGAAGGTAATAGTAGACTCAAGGATGGTCGGTTGCCAGAAAAGGTCTGTGAATTATAATAATGAGTATTCATCAATAAGGAACATACGATCCAAATTTTACACAAAGTTGAAGATAAAAATGCTAACCTTGTGAGGAACAAGGTGGTCAGGTACACTGTCCTGAAGCAACTGTTCTGGACTCTGAGACACCAGTGGGTATTAGTTAAATATAAATTTAAAAATAGGAAGTCTCATAATGATAAAGAAGACTCCAGGAGGTACCTTCCCATAAGCAAGAGCATCTGGCTGTGCAAAAAAGTTTGACATGAGCTCATCATGGTTGCTCACTACTTCCCCTGCAAGACACAGATGTACAAGAACATGATCATGCTGTAGAGGAAGCATACCAACAAAAAGGCAAAAGCTATAATAAGCGGCACATAAAAGCCAAAGGATATGGTTGTTTTGACAGAGCTGATTCTCTGGTACCTTTCAGGTATATAGGCTGCTGACTTTTGATTGAGCCTATAAAATCACAAGGAACCACCCTTCCCTGGCAGAATCAAGAAGAAATTTTCAAATAACATTGTGAAAATAATTGCAATACTACTTGATATAAGAAACATCTATTGTTTGTAAGGATTCAGAGATACAGTAACAGATTCCTCATTTAAACTGCAATTTAAGATTTTGAATGTAGCCTCAGCAAGCATCAACAAGTATGAGACATTGGGTTGCCCCTGCAACTAACAAGATCTATAAGAGAATGATAATAATGGATATGCAATAGAACCCCTGAGAAGCCCAGGCGGAAACCCCTCAACCTGATTGGACTATAATTAAAATTATATGTACAGTAAAACTTTGACTACCAAACATGATAGGAACTTTCTATACAATAAGTCACTTTGTAAACTACCTGCAGAATTTTTTTTTCTGACAACTAGGATTGGACCATAACAAGCCTTGCAGTGCTTAAGGTTCTGCATTAGCACCTTGGATTATCACACACATGAAGAAACACAATGCACCGGTTCTTCCATCTTCCTGAATGCAAGGAAAAGTCGATGTAGTTCATCTGTTTCCTTCATTGAAGGGAATTCCAATTTCATCATTAATGTGAATGACGTTATGACACGGACTTAGCTGGATTTGCCTAAGTCGTGCGGCACCCTCGCGCGTCCGTCCGCAAAGGTCAGTCTCCCCGAAGCCTCCCATTGTCCCTTAAG